ATTTTTCAACTATATTTTTTTTAAATTATAACTTCCAATCTTGATTTTTCAATCATATAAAGCGAAATGATTTTTTCTTTTTTCCTAGAAAAAGAAGACAAAAATATACTTCTATTATTGCTATTATCTATATATAAAATCTATTATTTATATTTTATATCTATTATATATATCTATATATATCTATTATTTATATTTTAAATTATACTAATGCAAAAATATTGAAATTTATCTTATTTTGTTTTTCTGTTATTCATCTTTTTGTAAAGTATAAATTATTAAAAAATAAAATAAATTTAAAATAGTAAAATTAAAAAGAAATTTAAATTACGCATCATACAACTTTATAAATTACACAATTCAAAAAAATAACTGATTTGACAAGTTATATTATAATAAACTCCCGCCAAAATTATGGCGCTGTTGCATTATAGCGATAAAGATATAATATAACGGAAAGGAATTGATAAAACTCTCATAGTCATAGTGGAGCATAAAATATTTGGCAGTTCTGTTTGTATCAAATTTGATGACATTTTGGTGACAAGATTTGTATCATTATATTTATTTCGAAAATATAGCAAATATTGATAAAGAAGTTTATATATGTATAATGTATATAATATACAAATAATTTACAAAATTTTTGTAATTATTTTTCTCAATTAAACTCGATTGATCACAATTTTATTTATATATATCATCTATATAACATTAAGAAAAATATTTAATATTTAAATAAAAGTTTATTCGTTTATTTATTTAATAGATTATAAATAATGAAAAGTCGAAAAAGTAATACTTAATGAAATTTGGAAAAAAAATGACAGATATTATTTTAGAAATTAAAAAGTTTATTTCTGAAAGTTGGACAAATATTTTTATGGAAGTATGTAATGCAGTAGTTTATATAGATCATTGTGCAATTGAATGTTTACATTGGTATACAGCTGGTAAAAGCTATTTAGCATTGAAAGATGCTGGAGCAGCTGCAGTTTATGAAATTGGCATGTATCATTTTCGAGTAAGTATATGTATATATTTTATTCACATCTATATAAATTTAAAAATAAAAAAAACATTATTAAATGTGCATTCCTTTTATTTTTATTTTTAGTATGTTGAAGTAAAAGATGTTAAGAAAGCTGTTATTATATCAACATCTAGTGATCCAGCATTTTATCAACGTACAATTAAAATGATTCTAACAAAGAATATATTCCAAAACTGTATTGTTTATTGTAGTGTACCTTGTTGCACTATCAACCATTTAGGAACATCATTTATTGAAGAAAAATTAAACTATAATAAATTAAAAAAGGATATTAAAATTTGGATGACTTCAAGAAATCTTTCTCAAGTTAGTTAATTAATCATTTATTTTTTTCAAATCTATAAATTTTTTCCAAATTTATATCTAGTTAAAACTAAATAAATTACTTTATAGGAACCCGTTGTCAATATTATTTATGCACCAATTTTTATTGCCTTTTTGAATAAAAATTTGTTTGTAACACCTCCTTTTGGAGATTTGATGCCACCTTTGGATACAAATATTTTAAAAGATATGATTATTAAATTGAATTTTTTAGCATATTCATTTTATAATCTATTTAATAATATAAAAGCTAGATTAGATATTTATTCAGTTGGAAAATTTAGTGATCATCTTGCAGAAAATTTGGAAGATTATATATCTAGTATTAATCACCAAAATGTGAGTATAAGAAGTAATAAGATAATAAAAATATGAATTTTAATATAATAATGAAAAATAATTTTTTAATTCACTGTTATGTTTATAGCATTTATCAGAGTCTCCAAAAGTAGGTATCTCTCTTATTTTGATTGACAGAACATTGGATCTTTGTACACCTACTAGTAATAATACAGAATCTTTTCTCACAAAAATATTACGAACATTTCCTCGTTTACCAAATCATGATAATGATGTAGCTATTAACATATCACCTATGTTTGGAACAACAGTAAGTAAGCATACATGAGTATTTATTTATATAGCTATTGTTATTAATTTATTTATTTTATGTTTACTTTTCTATGGATTTTAAGAATATTTTAGAATCATATGAAATACCTGGATGTTTAGCAAGCATAGAAAATATTATGATGGATCTTTTTATTTCACAAAAAGAAAAAAAATTGTTAGGTACAGCCAATCAATTTTTAAGTGATATAGCTCTAACAACAGATAGCTCTAAGTTGAGAACACCATCAAGAATTTCTGGTCATAGTTTAGAAAAATTTCTTAGTAAAATTCAATCTACAAACAATATTGCTTCTTTAGCAATTCACATAGAAAAACTTCAGGTGACTTATTTGGTTTTTAATTTCTTTATATATTTAATATATTTTAGGAAGTTTTTTAATTTTTGAATGTAGTGTATTTTAGCAATAATTGAAGCATCTACATCACAAAAAGCTAGTCAGCTTGAATTACTTACTAGTTTAGAAAAATTAGCTTTACAAAATCTTTCAGTAAGTCGAGAATCTTCAAGCATACTTATACAGGTAATCATTCTCTCAATTTTAATTTTTATCCATATAATACATATATATGATATATATCTAAATCAAATAATTTTTTAGTTAAGTAATATTATACGTACACGAATTCATAGAGGACTTGATATTGATAATTTATTAGCGTTATTAATTTACATTTATGCTCTTGCGGGAACGCAGATACAATTTTCTGCACAACAAGAACATCAATTAGAAGAATCAATTGCGAATGCAATCTTTGAAGATCTACAAATTTTAAAAAACAATCCATTGATTAATACAAAATCGGCATATCAGCGTACTTTATTACTGTTAGGTAGGTTTTTTTTTAAATAATGTAATAAATTATTAATAACATTTGTGAATATTAGGAGCGGACGATGTTACTGTAGCACAAGAAACATCATGTAGGATTGCAGCGCGTTTTATCAATATTCTTCGATTAGTCGCGGAACAACGTTTAATATTACAAGATTACAGGTGAAAACTTTGTTTTTTAATTTTTATCTTTATATAGTTATAAATTATTCATTCTATTTTCTTTCTTAATCATTTTTTTTTTTCAAAAATAATTTTATTTATAATCATTTGTAGATTTTGTATGTTGAAACCAAGTTCTCAAGAAGTAATTCGACATATTAGTATTTTAGAACAAATTATTAAGGATATATTTGATGTAGATGTAAATCGAGAATTACGGGATCTCCATAAAAAATCATCTTCATTTATTCAAGCCAGTTTTAAGTAATATTTCTTTTTTTTCTTAACATATCATATAATTAAAACTTTTAAAATAAATAATAAATTTTTAAAACTTTCTCACAAATCTTTTTTGCATTGCAGTTTATTTTTAAGAGGTAAAACAAAACATCATCCTCGAGATAATTCTTATATTTTAATATACATTGTTGGAGGAATTACTGCAGAAGAAGCAAAAATAATTCAAGAAATAGTATCTGTACAAGAAAAACATAGCAACAAAAAAACACCATATGTCATTCTAGCAGGATCTAGATTGTTAAATCCTTTGGATATAGTGGAAAAAATATTTTTTTAATTATTAATTTTTTTTTAAATCTATAAATATAATAGAATTTATTTTCTTTCCCTATTTATTTTCCATTTTATACCATTAGATAATATAGAATAATGTATTTTTTTAATAATTTGTGATGTTTCTAATGTACATATAAAATTTTTTGAATTACTTATTCTAGATAAATATATTTTGTAATCTATGTTATTTGTTAATTTATTTCTTTTCTTACATATTTTTTCACTCAATTTAGTATATATTGTTGCAATATTAAATTGAGTTGTATGTATTTTAATAACTTTTAATAAATTTTTTATATAAGTATCAATTGTGATAATATTGTCTTCACAATCTTGCCAATAATATGCTGTTATACTATCAATAGCTAAAAGTGCAATTTTGGTATTATCAAGAAATATGTCATCTAATGTACGTAATGTTAGAGAAAATTGTTCACTATTATAACAATTTATAATATGCAAGTTGTGTAAAGAATTTTTAATAATAGTTGTTTTATCAAAATCTATTTCCATTGCTTCAGATGCAAATGACATAGCATCATTTATAATACCACTCATTAATTCAATTAATTTTGAAATTTGAAAATGATGATCAGTATTTATCAAAATAGCTGAAGCATTACATCCTTTAATTTGATAATAATTTGGTAAAATACACTTTGCAAGTATTTGAGATAAAAGAAGACTTTTTCCAGATGATTGTTCTCCATTAATTTCTATAATATCTGTATTTCGAGGACCCTCGAGAAATAATGTATCTTCAATTCCACATAAACTTGGTTTATTATTTAATCTTGCGAGCAATTCTGCTCCGGATTCTATTTGAGATCGCATAGATTTTTTTTATATTTTAATTTGTTTTTATATTTTATTAATTTTAATTAAATCACTATTTAGATTTTTCTTTTGATTTTTCATAAGCATAAATATTATATACATAGATATACATATTGGATATCAATATAGTTGGCATAATGAATTATATAAATTAGAATTACCTAAAAAGTAAGGTTAATGTTCTTCTCGTAAGACTAAAGCCCGTATCACAATTTTTTAGTTAATAGGATAGACGAATTATAATTGTAACTAATGTCACACGATGGCAGTGTATGCTGTATTTCGCGTTTATATTTCATGAATTTAATATAGGACATCGAATATTATAAAAGTAACAATTTTATTGTTTTTTATTTTTGTCATATGTGTATGTATACATATGTGTGGATGTTAAAAAGTTTTTCATGAATGAAAAAATGCTTTATTTATGAAGATATAAATAAAAAACATTCAAAAATTAAAAACAGAGAATTATATAGAAAACTAACAAAATTGAAATTCAAATTTCACAAATAATAGATAAATTCTATAGATATATATAATAATAAATAAATTCAACACTTGATAAAGTAATGGTTAATAAAAAATTATTTTTTAATCACATGTGTATTAGTGATTTTAAGAAAATGTAAAGGTGTCCTTAGTAAGTTTTGGTTATATTATGAATTTAAAATACAATTTATTTTTATTTAATTATTTTATTAAATTATTTTTATAATTATTTTAAATAGAATTTGAAAAAATTTATTTTTTCAACAAAGAAACATTTTCATTTAAATTTTTATTTAAGGATTAAATAATATATATGTTAAAAATTATTAAAACTTTTTTTATTCATTATAATTTTTGTTTAGGTACATGATTTAATTTCTATCTCATAAGTCAATATATTTGTTAAAACTTTTCTGAAAATGGTGCCACTTGGACCATCACCAGGGCATCAAACATCTGTTAATAACACTGCAACTGCTCCAACCACTGGTACTAAAAGCAGTTCAACATTAGTAAGTTAATTTTATATTTTAATATTTTGGACTTTTTTTATTATTTTTTTTTTCTCATTTTATTTTTGAATAATCTCAAAAATTTGTTTTCTGATTTTTGTAGAAACCAAATTATACATTAAAGTATACCTTAGCAGGACATACTAAAGCAGTTTCTTCCGTAAAGTTCAGTCCCAATGGAGAATGGCTTGCTAGTTCTTGTAAATATAAATATATATTTTAAAAACAATGTAACATCAAATCAAGTATTTAATTTATCATTAATTTAAGTAATAAGTATTAATTTTATGATTGCTGTATCTATTTTGAATTTAATTTCTTATTTGTAGCTGCAGATAAATTAATTAAAATATGGGGATCCTATGATGGGAAATTTGAGAAAACTATATCTGGTCATAAGCTTGGTATTTCAGATGTTGCATGGTCTAGTGATAGTAGATTGTTAGTATCTGCTTCTGATGATAAAACTTTAAAAATATGGGAATTAAGTTCTGTAAGTTTGAATATAAAAAAATATTTAAAAATATTTATATTTAAATTTAGTTTTATATTAATATACAATGAAGTTTTTTTTATTATAGATAAATGAAATAAAATTAAATTATAATAAATTTATATACAATTCTTTTTATTTTATAGGGAAAATGTTTAAAAACTTTAAAAGGTCATAGTAATTATGTCTTTTGTTGCAATTTTAATCCACAGTCAAATCTAATAGTTTCTGGTTCTGTAAGTATTTTAATATAAAAATTTATGTGATCTTCTATAATATGTAGACCTGAATAATATATATATAAGATAGAAAAAGAATATAATATATATTTCAAAATAATAAATTAAACTTAATATGAAAATAAAAATAATAATTCAAAAAAAAAATTAAAATTAAATAAAAAAAGCACCAATTAATTTAATATTAAATATTTTTACAAATGTTTTTGTATAAGTTATAAAGGTTTGCATGCATAAATGAATAATATTGAATAATATGAATAATATGCATAAATGAATAATATGAATAATATATGAATAATATTAACTCAATGAATATTATTAGTTTGATGAAAGTGTTCGAATATGGGATGTTAGAACTGGAAAATGTCTAAAAACATTACCTGCTCATTCAGATCCTGTAAGTGCAGTTCATTTTAATAGGGATGGATCATTAATTGTATCTAGTAGTTATGATGGATTATGGTAAGTATGCATATTTTATTTTATATGAATTCTTAAAAAATATAGAAATATTATTAATAATACAATTATTCTAGTCGAATTTGGGATACAGCATCTGGCCAATGCTTAAAGACTTTAATTGATGATGATAATCCTCCTGTATCTTTTGTAAAATTTTCACCAAATGGAAAATACATTTTAGCAGCAACATTGGACAATACATTAAAGCTTTGGGATTATAGCAAAGGAAAATGTTTGAAAACATATACAGGTCATAAAAATGAAAAATATTGTATTTTTGCAAATTTCTCAGTTACAGGAGGAAAGGTAAGTTATATTGCAAATTTTATGTGGAATATACTTATTAGATATTTTAATTATATAAATTATCATTATTGAATTGAATTTTTATGTTTATCAGTGGATTGTTTCGGGTTCAGAAGACAATATGGTGTATATTTGGAATTTGCAGACCAAGGAAATTGTTCAAAAACTGCAAGGTCATACAGGTATAAATAAATTATATATCTTATTATGAAATATCATATTTTGATTTCTTTATTGATTTGTAGATGTGGTATTATGTACGACGTGTCATCCGACCGATAACATTATAGCTTCAGCCGCCCTTGAAAATGATAAAACTATCAAATTATGGAAAAGTGATACATAGAATATATATTATGTTATTCATGATGTCATTAAAAATCCTACAAAAAACTTGTATCTGTTAGAAACGTCCTATTCGCTCTCTTTTTATTTTTAAAATTTTTATATTTGATCATGTTTCGATATTAATTTCATCAATTTTAATATCCTGAAATTTATTATTTTAACATATAACTCATAATTTTGGGTAATTTTAAAAAATATAACTCTGATTTATTTAATTCAAAAATAATATATCTATAATCAAAAAATAAAAAATTACACATTATGTTATGTAATTTTATGCAGAATTCTTTTAGGTCAATATAAATGAATAAATCGAACAATCTAATTATTTCTATCGATTTTGAATAAACCGAAAGATAAATAATTTTTTAACAATTTTCTCTTATAATTTCTGTATTTATTGTATAATCGATTACTTTAAGTTTGTCACTATGTAATTTACTTGTAAAATGGATATATTTTTTTTATCTATAATAAAAGAATAAAATATGTATAATATAAAAAAAGAAAAATAGATAAAATGAATCCTTTTAATATAAATTTATATATAAAAAAAAATTATTAATATATTTAATATATTCGTATTTAAAATAAAATATTTGTACTTTTTTATTTGCAAATAAGAATATAGCATAAATAAATATTACTGGATTGAAGTATTAAATTATAATACGATATTTCGTATTTTATTAAAGCACATATTTTTTTTTTTAAACGTACAATTATAGAATTGTGTTAATACGCAATACACCAATTTGATTTTCTCTATCGAAAAAGCAAAAAATAACTCGCAATTTACAGAGCGAGTATTATTTCCATTTATAGTGATAGAGATAAAAAAAAAAGGAACTTTGTAAACATATGAAAAAGCAATTAATTTTTATGTTGTATGTATATGTATGCGCATGTGTGAAATAAAGAAAATAAAGTGGACGAAACTTGAGAATTCGGAAAAAATTATTATATTTATATGTAAAAGAGTGCATTTTCTTCAGCAATATTCGTCTTATTTTTTTTAACCGAATCTTCGCAAAATGTCACTTATATATGTAGGATCCGTTATTTCGTCCAATAAACCTAAAAAATAACAAAAATTATTGCAAAATATCATAATTGTAAAGAAGATCGATAAATGTACATACTACGTTAGAAACTTTTTAAAAAAAAATCCATTTGAAGAAATTTTTATAGATCAAAAACAATAAAAAATTTTTTTTCTTAAAAACAATTATAGCATATTCTACTTTCATTATTCATGCTATATATATTTCTTTTTATTTACCGACAACATCACAAAATTCTTCGAAAGATGTACAGGGTAACAATTCGTCACGGTATGTAGCTAATACATGTTCCGAAGCTTTTAACATAGCTTCGTCATTATGCCTGATATATTCAGCCAAAACTGATGGCCATTGATTATCGGACAATATGTTAACTTTCTATGAAAAAACAAGAGAAGATAACAAAATTAAATAAAAAATTAAATAATTATTAATAAATTAATAATACTTAGATTGAATTGTATATTATATATAATAAATAATAATAAGAAATATACCTTGAAGAAATGAGTATAAATACAATCGACTAGTCCAAAAAAGATTAAGGCGTTTTTATATACAGCGTAATGCTTAATAGTAACATCGACAATAGTTTTTGTCGGACCCGATGGCGAAACATATCGTTGATGGGCAAGAACAATTAATTTATTTAAATGAACTATTCTATATGTTTTCCAACGAGCCGGTGAATGAAGCAAGAGAGACATGGTGCACTGATAAAACGGTCCTTCCGCTTCGTAACAACTATCGAGCCAACTAGAACCTGGTGGCGTTTCCAAATATCCAATTAATGTTTTATCTGCTCGAGTGTCTGCTAGTGTGCTACAAAAAAATTATACACATATNTATATTCTAAACTATCTAATATTATATATATATATTATAATATATATTATATAATTATTATATTATATAATAATATATCTTTTTAAAATTTATATAGTTTGAAAATTTAAATATTAAATGAAATAAATATAAACATATGAAGAAAAATAAGATAAAAAAACTTCTTATTTAACATACGTGTTGATTACATAAAGTGCAGTATGAATTAAATAAGGGATCAAATGCATATTTGATTGTGGACCTCCTCCTCCACTATCTTCATGAAAACTTTTTTCTTGAGCAAATCGCAACAATAACAATTTCAAATCATGAACAGTTGATGGATAAGATATGTCGCGATGACTCGTACATTCTTGCAAATAAGTATTATGCCTTGCTAAACAACTAGCAAAAGCAGATTCTAAAACTTGAGGACCCCATAATGGTAAGAGTCCATTACATTTAGTATTCGCATTTTGCAATGCTGCACTTTCCCATTCATCTCTGCCACGTGCCAGTCTTACTGCAGACATATGACAATCTACATGAACAACATTGAAATGTGTAACAGTAGTATATCCTACTGTTTTTCTTTGTTTTGTTTCAAATTCTTCAACATTGCAACGTTTTGAAAATGTATAAATGGCCAAAACCTAAATACAAGAATAGAGACAAAAAAATATATAATGTTTGCAAAGATAAAAAAGATTTAGGGAAAAAAAGATTCTTACCATATTTGGTTTAAATTTGTATCCCTCGCGACAAATAACACAAACTAATCCTGTTTCATCACCTAAATCTTCCATTTGTTGAAGAATTGCTCCACTAGCTACTACTTGACCTTTATCATTTGTTTGCATGCCTAATGCACCTAACTGTCTTTCTCGCATAGCCATTGCCAAACGTTTTTTTTCGCTACGTGTATGTTGTCGAGCTTTTTCTATTAATTCAGCAACGCGTTTATTTGTACATAATGCTTCCAATAAATTTTCTGCTAGAGATCCAACATGCTCATCAGAAGATACTTGTTCTAATCTATGTATTATACTGATTGTAAATTGTGATACCGCCAACTGTGTTGGTTCATGATCCGTTGCTAGGCCAGTTAAGAATCGTAAAATATATTTGAGCGCAGGTTTAGAAATATAGTCTTTTAATTCATCACTATCCGTTCGTAATAGCGTAGGCTTAAGACAAGGAGCACGCACAGTTATATATTCGAAAGCATCTTTTACGATCCCCATGCTTATAATGTAATCTTTGAGAGTGTTTCCAATGGCATTGCGCTCAATGGCTTGAGTGAGAATGCAAAATAGTTCAAGTTTTTGTTCATCTTCTGCTGTATGTTCATGGTCAAATTCATAAAAATTTAATACAGGTTTAAAATAATCACAAAGAAGAGCCATTTTTTCACGATTGCCATATGTAAGAGCGGCTAATACACGTGCGAGTTGTGGCAATATATTACTTTGTCTGACTGCAGTTGATTGAGCACAAGAGAGGAGCGCTTTTATATGCTCCGGTCCACTTGATGTATGTGAAAAAGCTTCAAGTGTAGATAAGGATGCATGCGTTAAAATCGTTTCCATAATTTCTAATAATTGTTCTGTAATTTTCGCTTGCCAATTTTCTGATTCAGTTGCAAGACAGCGTTGAAGAACGTCGAGAAATACTGTTACTGCTCCCAATTTACTTAAAACTTCTTGATTTTTTTTCACTTTAACCGAAAGTCGAAACAATTTAAGAAGAACTTGAAGCAACGGTCGAGCTCGATTGACATTTTGTATAGCCGCTAATCTATTTACCATTACTTGAAGACCACCACAATCTGCTAAAACATTTGCCATTTTATATACTTCTTCATTGTTTACTTCTTGTTCGCTGTTTGCATTCAAACTTTCAACAAATTCTTCAGTTGCATCTCCAAGTAATCCTCGCATCCGATATACAACACGCATAGCATCACATTCTCCACCTTCTGGTACCCAAATTTTCTTATATACTTCTTTTACAGGCAAATCCAAACTAATAATTTTATTATTAACTAAAAGCTCCATTCCATTATCATCTTCCAATAAAGCAATTAATTCACAATCTAGACAAATCTTATTTTTTACATCTCGCATAAGGGGTCCTAAACCAGGTTCTAAGCTACTATAAGGATTTCCCAACATTCTACCTTGGAGAAAATCTTCTTGTTGTGAATCTTTCTCAAGAGTTAAATAAAACTCTCCTACATCGTTTTCTTCCGGATAAATAATCGAACAAAGTCTTTCAAAAATGAACACTGGTGTACAGACATCTTCGATGCTACATTTTTGTACTGTTTCCACACAAATTGCCATAAAAGCCTTAGTTTCTTCTTCAGTGCCTGTAGTCATTTCTTCAAGAAGTTCCAATAATTTTTTTTGCGTATCATCGATTAATCTTGTTCGTTGGACAACTAATCTTCTTAGAGATAGATAACCATTAAGTACAGCACCTACCAACCGACTTTTATATTGCTGTTTGATATTTTCTTGTTCGAGAAACGTTGCTATTAATTCGGTCAACATTTTCAAAGAATAACCTTGTGCCAAATCACTAGTTAATGTAGTTTCTTCCAGCCGATGAAGTTCTTCGATTTCTCTTGTTAAAAGATCTGCAAGTAAAGTCATAACACCTCGTACTGCTAAAAATTGTTTCCAAGGCGGTTGTCTGATTAAACTTTGATATAATGTCAGAAATTCTGTGCTACTTTCGCCAGCTGTACGTAATTCTTCTAAATAACAAGTAAGTAAAACAAGTACTTCTTTTTTTCGTTCAGTACCTTGACACAAACTTTCTATCATGTTACAAGCAACTTGTCGTGCTAATCGTGAACTTGGATTAAACAGAACTTCCTTCAACCAAGCACCGTCAGCCAATTTTAATGGTTGAACACCATGCTGTCTTAAACATCGGTTATGCCATCTATGTCCATATTTTTCCATTAAATAAAGTGCTCGAGTTTCTTCCTTCTTCATTGGTTTGCCTGAAGATTGTTCTATTTTTCTAGTAGGCATACGGCGAATCCATTCGGAATACGAATGTTTTGAATCACCATTTAACCATTTATTTACATCAATAGTAATACCTTCAATCGGTTGAACAGTTGCCAATGATTCAATATTTTTTTCTTTAGTTTTCTTTGAGACTGGTTGCTCTGGTTTCACGAGACCTTGCAATATTTTTAAACACGGTAAAATGATACTTTCCATGACAACAGGACTCTTCGATTCTTTACACGCCATCAAAAATAATTGCATGACACAACGTAATTTTTGTTCCCAGCAAGTATCCTCTTTCTGAATCAAAGCTGCCAATAACGCCATTTCGTGACGTACTGCTAATGATAAATCTGATGTAACAACGCGACCACGAAGTGTCAAAGTGATTCGACAAGTTAATAAAGAACAAAGCTCTTTAGTAGACTGAGCATTGTCTCTAGTAACGAGACATAACAATTGTCGTACTTCTTCCTGCATTTGTACAGTACCTTTGCGTAAATTATGCTCAACTAATTCCTGGATTAATCCTTGTTTACACAAAACTTCTTTAGCTACTTGATTAGTAGCAAGAGCACGTAATAAGGTTAAGCAATGTTCTGTAGCTGCGGTTGCACATCCATAACAACGACCTACTGTTTGCGGATTCACGCACCCAACAACAGATTGTGAATGAGGTCTTGTCACTGTCGATATCGATTGAGGAACATTTACTATTGCCGAAGCTTCTTCTTTGTCAGTAGCAATTGTATCGTTGCTTGATGAGCAACTGGCAATAATTTGTCCTCTCTGTTGACGATCATATGCTACAAGTTCTCGTCGGCAAGCCAAAACTCTTTGTATAATTTTACTTAATTCTTCAAAAGAAGTTTTACATTCACCACAGTATCTTTGAGCAAGTAATTGTATAGCTCTGTTTACTTGAGTACTTCCACTTGATACTTGAATAGCAGCTGCTGCTGCTGCACCATCTTCTACCAAACCACGATCCAATCGATGTTCTGATATTTTAATCAATAACATTTCTAACGTTGGCTTATTTGAAATTAAAGTTTTATATACTCTATCAGCTTTTTCGAGTAAAGTATTAATCGTCGCTACTGTCTTTTTTCGATCATCATCACTCTCAATAGGATCAACTGCACAACATGGTCTACCAGTAAGCGTATAATCAAACTTGGCGTATTTGCAAAAACCACAAGCATGACAAAGGAATGGATCTTTCTCGTCATAATTGATTGCTCTACATTTATGACATTGAAATACATTTTCCCCGCAATTCCCACAAACGCCAGGATTTGCAGGCACATTCGCAGAACATCGTGGACATTGTAAAGTTTCAGAAGAAGCCTGTATATCTTCATAAAAATCTGCATATTCAATCATCAAATTGCACGCGACAATCGGTAATGGAAATTCCATTTTGATTTCTGTTTGTCCTTGAGCTAGTGTAATCTTTTTAGCTTTGTGCCACATAGCCGGTTTATTTTTTAATTCAACTACTGCTTGAACCGATCGATTGTTATAATAAATATTAATCGAACGTACCATTTTTGTTCTTTTTAAATCACCTATGCGAAGAATAATACGACTAATCGTATAACTACCGATCAATTTTACAATTTGTGTGGTTGTTGTGAATTTTGAATCAACTTTAATTGAAGAAAGTTTAATTGTCGACATTGAAACTTCAGGATTATTGCATACTAAGCAAGGTTCACTTTCCAAATAATATCCATCTAATTCAACGAACTGAGCAAGATTTGCATATAAATTTGCATTTGGATGACGTGCAAGCAATTGATTTTGCGCGCGTAACACTGCAACTGCTTGTTCCATATAGTTGTGCATTTTTTTACTTGCATGCTGAGTTTTTAGAGAAAAGTAACCAAGCAAGTCAACAAATTGTGCCGCTTTTCGACCATAAGCTGGCAGCAAAGGCCATAATTGCCACAATAAGTCTAATAGAACTTCTTGATCTGCCGGACCACAATTTCTATATAGTAAAAAAAAATTAAAATGTTTAATTTGAACAAACGCTAGGAAAATTAAATAAAAAGAAGAGAAAAAAAAATATAAATTTACTTATAAATAGCCAATATCAAGGAATGTGCTTGCCAACGAACATTCGTATTATTTGTCTCAAGTAAAAAAGTTTGAATGAATTTCATTAATAGGTTTGGAGAGACTTGTTTTTGAATTTGTTCAACTAAAGCTAAACATTGAGCTTCCTCAAATTTAGCTTCTGTATCTGAATCTTCAGATTTTTCACGTTCTCGCTTCTCTTTCGTTGTTATAGTCCCAGACTTCGGTTCCTATCGAAGTAAAATAATAATTCAAAATATAAATTTTCTCAAATCTTTTTCTTTTCTTTCCTATCACTTTTTCTTTTATATATCATATGCGTTCTTTTTTTTTCTAAAAAGAAAAATAAAAGATAGTTTTGCTTACTTTCGTTTTAATATCTTTCGTTTCTTTTGATTTATTGTTCGAACATATAGCACATTGTAGAAGTTGCAACACTGTAGGACTAACACCTTCGTCTAAAAGTGTTGATATAGTAAACAAATAAGATAATACTGTATTCTGTTTTAAACAGAATCGTTGCCAATTTCCTGTACGACTTGTAGCTATCTCAACACAACATTTCAAGTGTTCAATTAAATCTACTAATGAATCATATGGTAAATTAATAGAATGAGAATGAGTTTGAAGAGGATCAAATCCACCAGCGGTACAGCATTGTTGTACTGACTATAAAAAAAATAAAGTATAATGTAATACCTACTAATACATATAAGAAATATAAAGAAAAATACAATAAAGATTATAAAAATTAATTTACCTGAATGTGTGAAATTAGAGCATGTAAATCACGAAGTTGTCTGTATTTTTCTTTATTACCACAAATAAAAAGCAATAATTTGCGCACTTGTCTTCTAACAAGTGGTGCTTGATAAGACATCATATATTCACAAAGATAAAAGTACCAAGGTTGTTCAAAAGCTGTCTGTGCCGAATTACTTTCAGCATATTTATATACTTGATAGGGTAATCGTAGTACCATTTCTGTTAATAATTGCGGATAAGGTTCAAATATATCACTGGGATGTCCCTTTACATGCTGTCGCAAAAAAAGCGGTGACATGTCTGGTAAAGAGGCTGTAAGATGTTCTTTAAGTAATTGACCGCCAAGAATAGTATCAGTTTCTTCGGTTGATGTTCTAGAAGAAAATATATTGATCAGTATATTAGACAATTTATCATTAAATGCATATATCCAATAAAAAAAACTTACGTTTTCCAATATTCTAGCAATGCTTTTAATAAAGTCGAACAATAATCAATTACTCCAGCTTTATTAAGTATTGTAGCTGCCATTTGAGAAATAAAATTCGAATTTTCTGCTTGTGTTTTAGCAGTATGTTTTGAGCGAGACATTAAAACACCTATTAGTATTAGACAAATTTTAAATATATTATATACATTTTAAATATATATCAAAAACAAATAGTTTATTATTCATCATGATAAGTTTATAATTAAATAATAATAACTCACTTAATAATCGCATAATAACTAAATGAACTTCTCGTTTGTTATTACGTTGCCATATGTTAGTTGTATCCGGTTTATCCATTTCTAACTCAGTTACCAATATTCGAAGTAATCGTTCAACACAAGCTTTGTCTTTTTCTTCTTGTCCATCTAAATCAGCTGTTAATATTAATAATACCTGAAAAATTAAGATTTTTGAAGCATTAAATTTAATTCAAAATTATAAATTAATCGAAATAAGAAAAATTAATTGTAAATTAATTGAATTTTAAAAAATATGGAAAATTAAACAAACCTGCATAAATGGAATAGTTAAAACACCAGGCACATTTATCAAATTTGGTATAAATCGCATGAGTTTATCGAGTAATAATAATCGTATAGTATGCAATTTTGCAGTGATTTCACAACTTGTATCATTTTCTTGTTCTATTACGTGTTCTTGTTCCGTACCTTCTTCTTGTTCGGTAACCTGGACAAAAAATCACACATTATCATTGTAACATTAATTTGTCTTGATTTTTTATCACAAAATAGTAAAATGCGCTATATAAGAGAAAAGAAGAAAATAGAAAGAATGTAAGTTCATTTACGGTAGACTTTCGTTTTAAATATTCCTTTTAATATATATATATAAAATAGATATTAAAAATATACTTTTTAATTAATGTATCGAGACACGATATATGAATACGAAGATGGAGAAAAAATGAAACTGAAATTGACTGTATGAATAATACACAAATGTGTATTATATCGAGAGTCTACCGTGAGAAAAAAGTACGAACAAACAAACGAATGAACACACGAATAAAGACGAGCAAATGGACAAACAAGATGAATGAAACACAGATAGCACTTGAAAAAAGATCAGAAACAAACATTTGTTATTCATCACATAACATTGGATACAAAATAACCATGAAAAACAGTAATCAGCCAACGACGAACGCAGTGACGAAAGCACTTACGGTGAAAGCCGCGGGAAGACCCACGGAATTAGTTTCGGAACGTGGTGCTTGGTTGACTCCAATTCCTCCAATCGGAGGTATAGAATCGGGACCATTGTCTCCGTATGCGGAGCTCCTTCCCGATACATTATGCTCCCCCGTCATGCTGTCTACAGCACTTCCTCCGCTTTCGCTTCCACCGCTCTCGCTACCCTTGCTACCACCACTACCACCCTAACATAAAATATATCCCAAACATTACTACCACCTACAATAACATTTTCGATAATCTCCCTCCCTCCGCCCTCTCTCATTGTTCCTCTTCTTGTTTGTATTGCTTATTACCAATAAATGATAATAGCAAAAAGTAAACGACAAATAACCTTAAATTGTTTCAGCAAACTGAAAAGTAACTCACTTGTTCTGCCGGAGATGTACGTAGTGTACTGCCATCAGTAGCTGCAGTTGATCCCTCATCATCCGAGCCTCCAGCAGATGCAGTTGTATCTGAATAATGACCACCAGCTTCTTGACTCTAAAAAACATTAATAATAAAAAAATAAAAATTAGATTCCAATAAAATTAAACATGTATTACGTGAATATTATAATCTGTTTAGAAGATTTAAAATATATAATAATAATAATCATAATAATTGTAAAAAATAATAATATGAAATAATGAAGACAAATTTGAATCATGACAATTAAAAAAAAAGTAACAAATTTAAAAAAAATTAAAATAAGATATTGAAAATATTGAAAGATATTTATTTTTTATTTATTATAAAATTATATAAATATATAATATATAGATATTTATTATAAAGCTGATTTAAAACATATTATTGAATCATATATGAAATCATATGTGAAATTTTTTAGTAATTCAAAAAAAAAATTGCTCAAATAATTGATAACATATCCGAATTTCAATTTTATTAAAAATATTATTTATAATTATAGAACTTAATAGATTTTAAGATCTCATTAGATAAGCAAAAGAATACATTTTTTTTAATAACTTAAAATTAGTTTTTAAAAATATTAATAAAGATTATATGAAAAATTTAATGAAGAGCATATTTAAGAGCACAATTAAGAGCAGTGATTGCAAAAATTATCATTATTAATTTTAAATTATTTATAATCTTATTTATTTTAGTTTTTCTGTAAGTATAATTTAAGATATTAAATATAATTAAATTTAAATAATTTTTTATTCAAACTTAATTTGTTTTTATATATCATTTTAAATAATAACTGTTAATAACTAAACAATCTATATACTATAAAAATATATAGAAAATAAAATAAAACTTAAGCAAATTATAATAATACAATTAAACTTTATTAATAATTATTTTTATTATTTATTTTACCACTTACTTTTGTTTGATTATATATTGAAATTCTTTTTATTTTTTTCTTAATCAAATATAACAAAACAATTAAAATTTTAATACTTACTTGACTGGTATTTTGAACTTGAACTAAACCTTGTGCTGCTAATGCTTGTAAACTTTGCAAAGTTGGACCATTTAAATTTTGAAGATTTTCTAATCCTTGCAAGTTTGAAAGACTTTGTTGAAATCCTTGTCGTAATACTTGTAAATCAGCATTTCCACCTTCATGGTCTTGTAAACTAAGTGCAATTGCTAATTCTACCATCGTTTCATCATCTGTATCAGGTGGTACATCCAATATCTGTGGAAAATTTCCTGAACCGAGCAACGTTTCTATGGAATTCACCGCTCCCCTTGTTATTGGTTCACTGCTATTGGCAGCAGTACTACTAGTGGCACCAGCAGAATTTCTACTTGTAGTAGTAGATATTGCAGTAGTTGTAGGAATAGTTGAACCTTGATTACTATCTGCTGTCAGCATCACTGCTAAAGGATCAACCACTGATCCTATTGATTCTACATCCAAATGTTGTTCTGTTTCTCGATCCATTGTTGTTGATGGTATTGTTGTTGGTAATTCTCGATGAGATTGTATAGATGATGTTGTTGGTTTTTCTTCCGTGTCTATAGCTATTTTTATACATTTATTAAGAATGAACTAATAAATAATAATAACTATTAAATAATAACTATTAATACTTTATTAAAAACTAATAAAATTATAATATTTAATTTAATTTTTTTTTTACCTGGTGTACTACAATTAGGAGGACTTGGTATATAAACTCTTCTTCTTTTGTATCTCGGACGAAGTACCCGAATTATTGCTTGTTTAACAGTAAAACTGATAGCAGTATTAGATGATAATAATAATTGTAAATATAATTTAGCAGTTAAAGAAATATTTTTTTCTATATCGCATGTCGTAAATGCATGAATTATTTCAATAATTGCATGAATCGTTCCTTCGACATGAGTCAATCCTGGAACTACTACTGGTGCAAGGGCCATATTCTTTGGATAAGCCATATGTAAAGACCATAACATTTCCATAAGTTGTACTACCAAATGCAGTTGATTTGCATCTGCATTTTTACAAGATTGACTAATATTTTGTCGATCTTTTTCGAAAATTGGTACTAAATTGATAAATAGAATTTAATTATTTTATAATTGATAATAATGATATTAGTAATGATATTAATAATTTATTAATATTACCATTAATTTCATCTATTGGTTTGTTTGTATATTGTTCAGTAAACTTTGCAAGGTTTTGTGGACGTGATACGGAAATACTTCGAACAATAAGTACTAATCTGTAGAAATTTTCTGCATCTATATCACGAGCATCATCGCATTCTCTCATTAATTTTAATGAATCCAATACATGTGATAGTAATACATGATCCTAGATAATAAAATTAATAATAATTAGAAAAAAAAATTATATTTAAAAAAAAATTGTTTTTTGCTTTGGATTGAATTTATTATTTAAATGAAATATGAATTATATAGTTTACCTTGTGAAAATGATATGCTTGTTTAGATGGATGTAAAACAGCTAAAAGTGCAGTTGTATGCATTTGTACAGATGGAGGAGTCGGTAATATAAGTAGTTGTGAAGCTACTTCGATAGCTGTTGTTTTCAATGATAACTTGTTCTCGTCATTCGAAGGAACATTGAATGATAATTCCAAAACTTCTAACATACTTGCGATCATTCTAAAAAAAAAATATGCTCGAAATAAAAAATAATTATTCATAGAGTAAGCTCTCAATATTATATATTATAGCATGTAAAGTGAGTGAAAATTGCTTGTCCTTTAAAACGAAATAATTTTTTTTAAAATTAAACCACATGAATTAAATTTTTTTAAAATATTGGAAGTTAGAATAATTTATTAAATATGTTTAAATAATATTTAAAAAAAAAAGTTTAAATTTTTTGAAAAAGATAATTTTTAACTTTTTATATTTATATGAAAAAAAAAGTAAAACACGTCTTTTATAAATCTAAAGAAATTACAATTCTATAATATAGAATACTATAAATACTATACTATTTTATTCTTAATTATTTATAATAATTTTAGTATTATATTATATATTATTATATTATTTAAAGTACTATAGTATTTTATCTATTTATATTATATATATTATATATATCTATATTTATTATATATATCTATATATTTAAATTTTTTGAAAAAGATAATTTTTAACTTTTTATATTTATATGAAAAAAAAAGTAAAACATGTCTTTTATAAATTTAAAGAAATTACAATTCTATAATATAGAATACTATAAGTACTATACTATTTTATTCTTAATTATTTATAATTTTAGTATTATATTATATATTTAATTATTATATTTATATATTTTATTATATTATTTAAAGTACTATAGTATTTTATCCATTTATATTATATATATTATATATATCTATATATATTCTATTATTTGATTATAATTAAATTAACGTATTTTTTGTTGATAAAGCATATATTGTTTTTGATGGAAATATAAATTTTTTTAATTTATTATTTAAACTAATTTTTATAATTTATTTTTTCATCATTTTTATTATTTATTTAATTTTTTGTGCAAATAAAATATTAAAAAAATATAAATATAAATAACATATTTAAAAATGTGTTATTTTTATCGCAAAAATATTAATTTTTTACAGTAATTTAACATAAAAAAATTATAAAATTTTTAAAATATTAAATATCATTTTGTTTGATTATATATTGTAATGTTGTTATAAATTTGTTGTCATGTTAGTTATAATTTTTATAAATAATTTTGCGTTATTTATTAACTTAATTTTTCGTTATTTATTAACTTTTTAAATTAATTTTTTATTTATTAATTTTTTCAGTTTAATTATCTTTTTTGTGTAGATAATTTCATAAATTTTTAATTGGGTTTAAATAAATAATCTAATGAATTTGATCATGGATGTGCAAGATAATTTTATATATTATAAATATTTTTAAATTTTGGCTTTATATTTTCGATCATTATCATAATAAAATTTGAATTTAAATATTCATTGTATTTTTTTTTTAGATTTTGTTTTAAAAATATTTAAATATCTATTATCTAAAATGCCATCTATATAAACTAATTCTTTAATTTCGTTTAATTAGATTTAAATTTTTAAAATTAAGCTCTTCTAATTTTTCGTTTATCAAATTTAAACAAATAAGTTGAATTTCATTGGCAAAAATAACATCATTTCATCAAGATTATTTTTTGCTAAATAAATTGTTTAACAAATATTATAATATATATTTTCTTATCAATTCGTCTCATTTATATGTATTCTTCTTTATAACTAACTAACTATACTATTCTAACTTCTTATATATTATTCTATCATTATATTCTTTTAATTATAATTAATATTCTATTAGATATACATCTAAATAACTTTTTAAATATTAAATTAAGTTAAATAGTAAATATTAAACTTGGAAACATTTAAATTAGGATTTTTTTTTATTTTTGTTATAATGTTCCATTTATTTCGATCAATATTTTTCTTCTTTTAAAAAATTAACTTTATTGGATTCTCATGATTATAATATTTGCCATTGTACTCTTGCTTAAATTTAGAAGAGTGCCTAAAATTTCCCGATAAGATTTTTCTTTTTTGCAATAAAAAATAACTAATTATCATTTAAAATGATTAAATAAAAAACAATATTAAAAATTTTTGACTAATCACGATGATTTTTAAATAATAACTAATATTTCAAAATATATTACATATCTTGCTTAACATATATTTATAAATGTTATGTTAAAAAAGCATAATTAAGAAATATTAAGAAATATATATATATAATTAAGAAATATTAAAAAGTATATATAATAAATAATTAAGTATCCAAATATTTTTGTGACATAAAAATAATTCATTTCTTAATATATTATTTGTTACATAACAAAATAATTAGTTTAAATAAATAAAATTTGCATTTCCATCAAAAAGAATACATGCATTATTATGACAAAAAAAATATTTTAATTTAATTTATTTTATTTTAAATTAGGATTATATTTAATTATTTTATTTTAGTTTAATAATAATTATTTTATTTTAATTATACTTAATTATTTTTAATTATTTTATTTAATTATAATCAAATATACGGAGAAATAATGAATAAAATGTGATATTCGAATATAAATCATTGTATGTATATAAAATTTCATTAAAATCGATTGATTGTACGTAAGGCATCGAAAGATGTAAATATTTATTATAAATATCAAAAATAGTTATAAAAAAATTGTAAATTTGAGTATTTTTAATCGTTTGCAGTTCATAGCAATAATAATGGATTTTGAAATTTTATGCAGTATTATGTATTTAATTTATTGAAATTTAAAAAATTTAAATTTTTTTTATAGAATCATATAAAAATTATAAGTTTTAATTTTTTCTTTGCTAATTCGATTAATAGTAATTTTTTTAAATTTTTTTTTATCTATTAAATTATCTACTAAATTAATTCTTCTAACATTTTAGAAAAATTTATCCAATATAGTTTATCCAATTTTTCTAATTTATATATAAAAATTTATCCAATAGTTTTGATCGAAAGTTATTTTATCCAATTTTAAAAAATTATTTCATTTTAAAACGACGATCGATTTTCAATTACTATATATATAAAATGTTAGGTTCATATTAATAAACATATTAAAATTCTGTGTTTATATATATATATTAATTCTACGTTTACATGTTTATATATATTTTATATAAAAAGCGATATATTGAACAAATAATTTTTTTGCAAATTATTAAAAACAATTTCATTTTTTATAATATTTATATATTATATAAAATATTTTCATATTCTTTAATAAAACCATATAATTTAAAAAAATGAAATTGATCTTAAAATCTTCTCTATTATTTGGATTCCTCATTTAAAGATTTTTTAATGAAAATTTTTTGTACAATACAAATTAAATAATTTTTTCTTCTTTATAACTAAACAACTATTGTTAAAACATTTTTTAATGATTTTAATTTCTCATGAAATATTCAATTAAATAAAACATCTTGTATATATAACATATTCGATTTAACTCAAAATAGTTAAATGTATTTTGAAATATGAAAAAAAAGCAATAAGAATACATAATAAAAAATATTTTCTTTTAAAAATTTAAACATGACTTTTATAAAACTTTTTCAAGTTTATCATAAGAATAAATTGATAATAATAATAATATAATTTGTTCATTCTCAAATATTTAACTAAAACATTTAACTAAGACATTTTTCTTATCGAAAAAAATTTTGATCACTATAGAAAGTCTATGAGATCTAATTTTTATTTTCTTTATGATTTTGATTTTCTTATGCATTATGATTTTCTTATATTTTTTCTTACCTTATAATATTCAATTAATAAAATTATTAAAGATTACTGATATTATTTATATGTTTTAGTTACTAGTAAAATTAATTTATTTTTCACTAATAATACGAAAGATTATATATAATAAGTATGTTATTTTTTTATTTGTTTTAAATGCAAACATTATGCCTTATTTATTATATTTGAAATATACAATATAAATAAAACAATATTATCGTAAATTTTTAAAAAATTTCTCTTTTTTATATTTATTCTCATTTTTATTTTTAAAAAATTATTTTTAATTTATTTTTATAAATATTTATAATTCTTTTTACTAACTTAACTTCAGGATGAAAATAAAGTTTGATTTTTATTTACTTAATCTTATTTTTTTGTATATTCATTTTTATTCAAAATATCTTGTTAATTTTCTTTCTATATTTTTTATGAAGAAAATTCAAAATTTTAAAAAGAAAACAGAAACCAACTTTATAAACTAAGTTAATAATAAAGTTAATATAATTTTATAATTAAAAAAATATATAAATAATGATAATATATAATTATAAAAAAAAAGATATAATATATAGAGTTTTACTAAATATTACCATCTTGAATAATATTATTATTATTATTCGCAGCGAGAAATGATATATTAAATGATTTTAAGAGGTGTATATATTAGCATTAATTTTTTATAAATGGATGTATTAAAAACATATAAAAATCAACTTTCATTTTTTAAATAGAATTATATATTTTCTTATACAATCGATAATTTTTAATTCTTTATAAAAAAGTATCAACTTATATATATCAAAAAATGATTAATTTAGAATTATTTTGATATCTATAAAATATTGTTAAGAAAACTCTTTATTAATCTCGTTTATTAATAATAACTATATTTATTTATTAATTATTTAAAAGATTCAATGTAATATCCACTCACATCTTGACATTTTTGAAACCGATTGAATAGTGATCATTTCGACCTTATAATATGATATTTTATAACATTCGTTTATGATATATTCTTTATCGAGCAAATATAATCGGAATTTCTGCGTAAATTTTATTTTTACTTAATAAAGTAATCCTATTTAATCCGATTGTACCGGAAAATTAATCATTCCGCACATGAAGTATTTTTTTTAATCTTAAAATAAATTGATAACATGTCTAATTTCTCTTCTTTTATGTATTTTATTTTCATAAATTATATAATTAAATGTCTAACATAAACTAAATGTTTGTATCAGAACAATAATACCGAACTTATCAAATATTTATACTTCACAACGCTGTAACTTATAACAATTTTGTTGCAGTAATATTGATATAAAAAGTTACTAATATTTAAAATAAAAGTATTATTAGTATAATTATAATATATATAATTATAATAATATATTAATAAATATTAATAATTATTATTAAAATAAAAGTATTATTAAGAGAGAGAAGTTTTCTTAATAATATTTACATCAAAATATCTTCTAAACCAATCATTTTCGTCATACGTAAGTTAATATTTTTTTAGAGAATTAAAAAATGTATTGATGCATAAAAAAATACATGGTTTTATTTAAAAAATGAAAATTTATTTTTATATATTAACATATCCATCTACAAAAAAAACTAATAATAATAATGCATTCTTGAAACCATTTAATATTCATCAAAATATTGCTATAAATAATAAATAATGATAATTCAAGGTGATAACATTTAGTGAAACACTTTTTATGTATTTGCAATTATTCAATCAGACCTGAATTTTTCCATTATTAATGTACAATTGGATTTTGATTTTGGATTTTGGACTTATATATATAGAACTATATATTAATAATAAACATTAGTGATCTCTGAGACCTCCGATAGTTATATATATAGTTATATATATATATATATATTATATATATATATATATAGTTATATATATATATATATATTATATATATAGTTTTAATGTTTATTGTCAATATTAGTTACTTACTGAGTTAAATTTTTAAGTTAGACTGAACATTCTATATGTATTTTAATGTCAACAAATCACATAATGACTTTTTGTTATTTTAATTAATTCATAAAACTATAATTGTTTCAAATTTTTCTTACCTATCAATATCAAGGGAATTGTCCTTTGTGGTGCTAAAGCATTATGCAACGATAAAAGATTTCGTTGTATATATTGTTGTATAAATTAACAAATTTATTATATGTATTTTTAATATTTACATACCTATCAACAGAGGATAAAGAAGCAGGTGCAGATAGGGCACTATCTGTCTCACTATTGATTGTGGTTACTGGTGCAGATGTTGATTGACCTGTTGGAACATCTTCTATTTCTTCAGGCCAGCCAAAAGCATCTTTTGTCTTACCATATCTAAACAAAAAAATAGGAATAAAATCAAAAAAAGAAATTATTAGTATATATTAATTTTAAAAACTTGTATGATTAGATTGTTAATAAAAATTAATTATGTATTATAATTATTATTATTATAATTATTAATATAATTATTATTATATAACTATTACAATACATACACCTTAATACAATCCACTATAATGACACCTTCAGGATCTTGAGATGGTCCAAATGTAATAGTTAATTTTTTATCAGCTTGAAGACTTTCTTCTCGTGTAAAAGGTATATCAAACCAACGACTTCTACTTAAAGTTGTACGAATACTTCTACCAAATACCTACAAAATATAAATAAAATATCATATAAATAAATATATATATCGAGTATTTTGATTGAAGATTGAAAATTAAAGATTGATTTGATTTTACCTCGATATAAACCGGAACCCTTTGAATATCTTGATTTCCAAGTAATACTCGAATTCCCGTCATAACCAAAACAGCATCATTATTGGTAACTTCAACTGTAAATCCCATTGCTTTCGTAGAAACAACGTACATTCCAGTTGTATTGAGTCTATGTTTAATTTGAGCAACGTTGTAAATTTGTAACAAATCATTACCACCAAATTCTACATCATTCATCACTTGACAATGTTCGAAAAAATCAATAGGAAAAGTAACAGATCCTGTTGGTTTTCCTGTTTTGATAGTTTTTTTCTTTCGCGTTGGCTTAACTGTGGCCATTGTAGCTACTGGCTGAATGGTAGGAGACATCCAATACCCAGTTTGTTCCATTCCAGCCATATAAATCCTTAAACTTCCATCTTCACATAACAAAATTAAAGTCGTACGATGCTCAGCATTTGAACTTGGATGTCTTATGACAACCATATCCATTATTTTGGCTTTGGCAGGAATAGCTTTAATTTCTTGAATCATTATTATATCAGGTTTAATCATTAATATTACAGGATTATTGCTCGTCTCTAAAATTGAGCAAATCAATCCAGGATGATTAGGTACTTCACTCCATTGACATAATGGTTGTGGTTGATTATTATTTGATTTATTTCCATTCGAACTTTTATTGCCCGTGAGATTAATTTGAAATACAGTTGTTACATCAGTTTCCATGTATTTAAGAGGCGCAATGAAACTTTTACCACATGCATAACTGAAGAAGAGTAATTGTAAAGCATGCGAATAATAAATTGATACGCCCCCACCTCCAACTTGACCATTATCTCTTATTTCTGGATGATACACATCGAGAGTATTTGTTACATAGAAAGGTCCATATTTTGCTGAGCTTACCTCATCCATTGCTTGACCATAAATATATCCAGCTGAAGATATTATTAAAAGATAAAAAACACCGTCTTCTGCATGCATAAACGTACAATCTCTTATTTTTCCAGTAGGTACTAAGAAATAATATTGAGGACAAAGAGCATCTTTTCCAAGATCATAAATCTTTACAAAATCTGCAGTAACTAGCGCAAGTTGAGTTTGGGATCCAGGTAACCAAATTGCTTTTATGATAAAATTGCCAGTTTCTAATTGAGGATATAGAACCAAGTGATCGGATACAGTGCCAGAAGTATTGAAAGTTAATACATGACAATCTTTAAAACCACAGACTGCCAAAAAATCTTCATTCCATTGATTTCCAGTTACAGATAATACTGTAAATGGTACTGGAGCGGAAGCAAGTCTTGTTAATGTTAATTTTCTTTTTGATGAATCAGGTTGTTTCAACAATGCGCCTAATTGCAATACCGTTATTTTTCCTTTCTCATGAGAAACCGCTATTTAAGAAAAATATATCTTATATTATTTTTAAATTAATTTGTGTAAATTATTAAGTAAACCAAAACAGGAAAATATAATTACTTACCCAAATGTTGTCTTTTACCATGTGGAGATGATAAACAACACATTGCGACGCGACGTATCATATGTGCAGATAGTAATTGCCTAATAGTCTGCCCTTGATCTCCCGAGTAATTCATACGAACATTTTCAAATGCCCCTTCTTGTGATCCCAATGTAGGAAGCTGAAATTAACATTGGAAAAAAATATAATTTTATTAATTTCATTAAATTCTTGGCAATATATACATACCATTAACTGATCAGTATATTCAAACTTTTTGTCCACTGTGTGTAATTGTTTCAATGCCATTTGAGCACGAGCATGGCAACCAATTGCCGAGTTCTTTTTACATGATGCATCTACAGCTGGTAATAATGCACCAGTCAGATCTACTAATGATGATACTAAACCACTTTTCCAAAGATGACTTTGGATCCAATCTTTCGATGTTTCTACATATCGATAACGAATAAATAAAAATCTAAAATAAGAATTTATAATTTAAGAAAATAAGAATAAAAGAAACAAAAATTACCTAGCTGTTTGGCTAAATATGCATGTCTCTGTTTATCGCGTCCTTGTCTTTCAGGTTTATCAGAAAAGTATAAAGGACTGGAAGTTCTTCGACGTAAACTACTTGTGAGAAGAAGATCTCGATTTTCAGTGGATGTACCTAGTGTATTTCCATAACTTGTACTAGCAACACTAGTTGAACCACTGGTTGATGCAGCTGTATTTCCAGAACCAACAGCAATTGTCGTATTCTGATGTTCTAATGATTGAGGACTCCGTTTAGTTAAAGCTTGACAAAATCCATCATTTTTGGCACCGCAATCACAAAAGAAATTTCCATATTTTGCATAAGTAACATCGTGTCCGCGATGACAAACACGAGCACATACTGTACAAACTCCAACTCCATTTACCATATTGCAAGTATGGCAATGATACCAATGTTGATTCATAAATTCCTTTAATGTAATAGTGAATGTGCATAGTTTATTACAAAGACTATCATCATCAGAATCTTCAGCAGCACTATCTTCATCTTCATGTGGAATCTCATCTATCCAATCACTATCATTTACATCATTAACTGGAGTAGTACCTTCCCACGGTGGACTAGTTGCTCGATCTTGTGATTGTAGCGATTGAGGACATATTGCACTTACTATATCTGCTATGTAATTCAATATGCAACAGCCAGCTTCAACAAATGGTAACGGTTTATCCAAACTTTGAAAATCTTTATTCATTAATTGTTCCTTACTGTAATTTGTAAATAACATTGATTGATAATTATTTTTTCAAGCACATATGTTATATATAAATAAATATTATGTATTACCAAAGTTCTATCCATTCAACTGCAGCTTTAAATAATAATGTATGTCCTTTTTCAGAACTAGCATCGGCTAATGTAGACATAACATTCATTAAATCCGAAAAACCATTACCCTCGACCGTGGGAGAAAGAATATGATAAGCTAATGGTATAAGAGCTCGAAGAAATGTCACAGGCACACCTTCATCAATGCTGATATAGAAAGATTCGTAATATAAATAAAATCAATAAAATGCATATTATACATAAAAAACAATCAAAATGAATATAAAAAAATATAATTTTACCTCTTCTCTTTTACTATATAATTTGTAAGCGCTCGTAGAAGACGACTATTTTCATGCATTGAATGTTGTTGTTGTTGTTGTTGTTGTTGTTGTTGTTGTTGTTGCTGTTGTTGTTGTTGTTGTTGTTGTTGTTGTTGTTGTTGTTGTTGTTGTTGTTGTTGTTGTTGTTGTTGTTGTTGTTGCTGTTGATCATCAGTGATACTTGTTGATTGATTATTGCTAGCTGAATCATTTGATAATGAAATTAACCATCGGTCTTGTTCGTTATTTGATACATTATTGACTTCATCTGATTTCTGAGTATCTTCAGTTGTATTAGCAATAGCAACCGATCTATCATTTCATTATTTTAATCAATTAATTATTTTGAAAACGTTTTTAATTTATATATAAATAACATTTTATACTTACGCATTTACAGTTGTTATTGTAGATTGAATATTTGTTGAAGATGTATTTGGAGAGATATTTGTTGCTCCTAAAATAATTTGCTTCAACCATATTTGTAGTTTTTCCGGCTCTTCATTAGCTAAATTCGATACCGATCCGCAAAGACGTTCTAATGATCCGTCACTTCCTTTCTCAGCTAAATACAGAAATATACATTATTTAACAAATAAACAAAAAATTGTCAAATAGATATTATTTTATTACCTGTTTTGAATAACATATTGAAAAATCTTAAAACATGTGTGGCAAATTGTTGCGAAGATCGTGAAGATGTTATACATAATAATATAGAAACAAGAGATCGATTACTATTTGGTGCAAAAAATAAATCTAATGCCTTACATCCAACTGATTTTTCTAATAATTGTTCCCAATATTTAATACATCGTTTCAAAATTTTTTCATCAATGATAATACTAAAAAACATGAAATTGTGTAATTATATTTTGACAAAAATTTATACATAAAAACTTAGAATATTAATTTTGTTTTCTTTGTAAATGATGTTTTTATTGACAATACCTGACAGGATCTTGGATATCATTTGTGTATTCAATTATCAAATTATACATATGATGCAATATAAAAAGGTGTTCTCGCAATTGCCGCGTTTCACTATCATTATCACCTAATAATTTTGTTAAAGCTTTATTAGTCATATCTTGAAGATAATCCGTACGAGCATCCATAGACAATGCAACAAGGATATCCAATGCTTGTGTATGCACATCTGTATTTTCTGGCGTTATTGTAGGACTATAAAAAAAACATCATATTAAATATCTATATAATTAATGTAAATTTAATTGTAATTAACGAAATGTAATAAATAGATTGCGAATGTATAAGAAAATGCAATTTATATATAAAATAATAAATAAAATAATTAGATTTCATCAGATTTTAAAAACATATATTTTGTATAATATATGTAATATCAATATATTAAAATTGAATAAACATCCGCTATTTAATAATATAAATTAGATTATGACTTACGTGACATACTCCACTATAAATGTAACTAAATTGTGCAACAATTTCTTCAAAGATGGATTAATAGAAAACATGGGATATTCAGAAAGTGAACTCACATGTTGACATACTGTAGCCAAAATGTAACTTTCTGCTGGTATAACGTCATTCGTATAAGTGTTCTATGATCAATAAAGAAATTAATAAAGAGATTCATTTATTATATATAATGTCTTTTAGATCTAAATTTGACATTGAAAATTTACCCAAGGAATATGAACGACATTGATAGATTTCCATTTATCTATAATAGATTTTACAGAATTTGGTAAAAAAGAGATCAAAGATGCTTCAGATGCCCAATTTGCACCTGCCATTGCAATGATGTTGTCAAGTATAGAATAATCTCGAGGGCCATATTTATTATCTTGTTCAAAAGATTCCAGCATCTCGTGCAATATATTTGATCGACACGAATACAAAATTGATTCAGTCAATGAAAGAACATGTGGAAGAATACTGATCATCATTTTATTTGCATTAGTATTTCCGGATTCTGAAGTCTGCGAATTTCTATAAAAAAAAGAAAAACAAAGAAAAACGAATTTAAAATATTTAAAATTAAATAAAAAAAAAAAGAATTGTATTGTTTCAAAACATAAATAATTCAACTTACTTTGAACTTTCAATAGTTTCATTTTGAGTCTTCAATAAGTTTTCATAAAAAAGAATTTGTAATTTGCCAATAACAGCAGCCAAAATACATAACGAACTAAATTTAGGTAATGCATTTTTTGGTATTATTTTATTGTTAAAATTAATCTCTGGTTTCAATGCTGTAATGCAATTTTTTGTAACTGTAACATCATATTTGAGAGAATTTACAGTGGACGATACTGTCTTCAAAAGATTTCTTGCATATTGCGCATACATCCCCTGCCTGATTAAACAATCCTACAAGCAAAAATAACGATATTTTAATATAAATGAATCACTTTGATTTAAAATAATTCGAATTAATTAATTTCTTTTAATTAAAACTTACATTCATCCAACTGGTAAAAGTTTTGCATGCAGCTCTAGGTCCCCAAATTAAAGAATATAATAACATTGGTCCAGCAGGAATTTCCTCACCCAGAGCTAATTTATCCATATATAGAGTAGATGGTGGTAGCATTAATAATAATCTATTAATAATTCAAGAAAAATAAATCTAACAAGAACTATTTTAGAAATGTTACTTTCAAATTTAAATAAAATTAAATATATTAATATATCTATATGCACAATAATTATAGTTGAAACTATAACTATAGATTATATATATATTATCAATATGTTTAATACATGTAAAATTTGAAAAAATTATGTAAACAATTATATGAAAATAACTCTTTAATGAAAACTTCTTTAGAAATTGAATATAGAAATTGAAACAGAATGACAATAAACAATAAATAATTTTTCTATTATAAATTCCAACTTTATTTTTTTACAAATTTTCAAAAAATTATTATATCAAATTAAAATTAAAATTCTTTAAATATGAATTATTTTATTAACTATTATAATTTTGTTAACTATTTATTTTATTTTTATTTTATTAATAACAAACAAACTATTATTTCTGAAGATTGCTGACATATAGAAGAGTAAATAAAGAAAAGAATAAATGTACAAATAAATATACATATAATATTTATAAATTATAATTTGATTACAATTAAAATTATAAAGATAAAGATTGTTATTGTATTATAATATAATTAGAATTATATAATTTATTATAATTTGTAAATTAAATTTTATGTTATACATTTATCTCCTTTTTGTCCAAGCATTATTGATAAAAAATTGATTAATATTTATGATTAAAGCGAGGTAACGATATAATGAAGATAAGAACTATCTTATTCTATTTTTGCTTTTACTAATACAAACTTAAATTGTTTATAATTTATATATTATATAATATTTATATATTTGTATATATTTATTTTATTATATATAATATATTATTTATATATTTATATATGTATATTTATTTGTATATCAATTTTTATTTTTATTTTAGTCTTTAGAATTGATTACCCAAAAATATTTATAAATATATTAATATCCTCTATAAACTCGTCATCTACATAATTGCAAATTATTATTATTATTATTATAATATATATAATAGGCTATATTTTATTAAAATCTAAAAGAGTAAAAAAATTATTAAAATAAAGTACTTTGTAAGTATGATTTTTGATAAAATTTGCATATAAATTTGTATTTTGATCAAATGCAATGATAATATGTAATTACGTAATTTATGATTAACAAGAATAACAAATTCTCTGGCAAAATGCGCATCTAACTTTAACAAATTTAATATATTCATAAAAATAGATAAATATGATTCAAAATAGAAAAACATGATTCATTAAGATTATATGATAATATTATATGATAATATTATATGATATATTATATGATATATAATATATATCAATTAGCAGAAAAGGATTTTATATTTTTATACTTTATTCCTATGTCGTTCCGCGAGATTTCTTATCAGTTATATTATACATTAATTAATTATAAATATTATTTATAAAAGCAATATATATTAGTATAAAAATATTCATAATACTACTTACCGCCAACATATAGAAAAACAATATCGAATTGCACATAATCCTATGAAAGTAGGTGTTTTATCTTTACCATCAGCATTAATTCTCTTTTGCATATCAGCTTGATTAAGAACATTTAAAATATCTATTAATGCATCAACCAGAAGTGGATATTTCATTTTATCTGGAGCACCCAGAATGAAATTACAAGCCTATATATGGTTAATAATTAAATCACAAATGAGATCAAATCAAAAACTTCAAGAAAAACTGTTCAAACAATTCAATACATTATAATACCAACCACTCCATCCAATTTTGGTGTATCCTGATTATTGAAATCTGTGGTAGAAAGATTATAAAATCGAGGCTTCATTGAAAATTCATCTTGATTACCAATTTTACGATAATTATCTTCAATTACTGTCCATGGTGTAAAAATACGGGCTGTTTGTTTATTACCATCTTTCATGTCACAAACTAAACTTGTAGCAGAAAAAAGATTCCACCGAACCTATGCATTAATCATTAAAAACATATAATGTATAAATTATTGATAAATTCAAATAAGAATAAAAAATTTCTTGTAATGAAAATGTACAAGATTTTTACTACCACTCAAATATATCTTTCAATTTAGTGGCCCTGGTATCTTGTCACGTTTTGTATATACACGTTATTACTTTCGCATTTTACATTAACATTATTTAATATAATGTTAATAATGTATATATTTATAATCTTATTGAAAAATGAAATAATGAAATAAATCAAAATATATAACAAGGAAATTAAAATAAAAAATGGAATCATGATGAATGAGAAAATAATGTTAAATGCTTTTTATAAACTTAATCAATAATTAAAAATATATATATATATATATATATATTTACTTACTTGTTCAAGCAATGCAGGAGGTGCATCATAAAGATGTTTCATCATATATTCAAGTAGTAATAATAATCGTGATAAATGCAGTAATTGAGAATCTTTCATTGGAGTTTTAATTGCTTCACTGCAACGTACAGCACCACTACCAGTTACAAGCAATACCGATTTTTTTTGCATAAAATTGAGAGAATGGAATAGAATTAAAACCAATTGAGCATGTTCTACATTTAAATCTGAAAATATTGATATGATAAATATAAATGTTGTGTGAAAAAAAGATAAGAAAGAAAAAATTAAAAATTTGATTATACATTTTTCAATACAAACAACAATGTTTTAAGAAAATAAAAGTAAAACAAGTAAAATATAAAATACAATAAGTTAGTTTATCTATATGTACACATTATTAAAATAACTTTTATATATTTAAAAAGCATTTTTGTGTTTTCACCTTCATTTTCAGCTTCAAATGTAGAAGGTGGATTACATACATTTTCCACTAAAGTTGTAATTAAACGATGCCATATACTTATACAAGCTGCTTCTTTTTCAGATCGAGGTTTTAATAAAAGTACCTATTATAATTAAATATAATTATTAAAAATTATGAGATTTCATTATAAATATAACAAAAATATACCTGTGCCAATACACTTAATGTTCTTGGGTAAACTTGAAGAGGCCAAGTGCATGGACTTGTACTTTCTGTTCCTGACCAAGGATTCACACCTAAATGCTGGAGAAGGATGTTTTGTAAACCTTCGCTTAATGTATTTTGAACAAGTAAATTATGCGTATAAAGACTCAAAGCTTGAGAAAATTCAGAGTACATAGTGCCTAATGTAGCACCATAGAACACTGATATAGTTCCTAAAATGAAATATATGTAACGATATTGATGAATATACAAATATTGTATAGTTATTAACCCTTTGCGCTCCAGACCTTTTTCGCTCGGTCGAATTTCATTATCAACAACTTCAGATTTCCCATTTGGTGAATTTCTTAGCTAATTTAAAATGATTTCACACGCAATATAAAAAACTTTTATATTTTAATATTTTATGTACCTTTACGTATAAAGAAAGAAAATTTGTTAAATATTAAAGTTTATATTATTGTTGTGATTTTAATAATAAAATAATTACCAAAATGCATTCTCGATTTATCACAAGTATCACAATAAAATGTCGTTTGATGTCTTTCATCTTTTTTATTTCATTGAGAACAAACACAATCAAACAATTATTACAATCCTAATAACATGCTCTCACATTCATTGTCTATTATTTTTATTTTTCATCTTCTTATGCTATATCTCTATTTTCATCATTATTTTTTTTCTCTCTATCATATCAATTTCTTAATGAATAAAAATAATTTCGTTATTTAATAACGAAAAACTCATCTTAAACTAATATTCTAATAACATGTTCTCATATTCACTGTCTATTATCCTTATTTTTCACTTTCTCTTACTGCATTTCTATTTTCATCATTTTCCTTCTCCTCTATCAATTTCTTAATGAATAAAAATAATTTCATTATTTAATAACGAAAAATCAAACTTATCTTCACTTGAAATTTCATTATCATTTTATTCCATGCTTACAAAACTCAAAAACTTTGAAAATAATATTTTTATTCCCACGACTATCAAATTCGAATTAATGCCGAAAATCGTTCGATCCGCGTTCACAGTCTAATTTGAAATAAAAAAAATCTAACCATTTGATAGTATATTATTTTATACTTTTATAAATTATATATAAAGAGCTTAGGAATCTATTTCATGAAGCGATATTTTTAAAAAACAAAAATAAATATTATCGCCGTTCAAATTGCCACATCAATCCAAGTGATGCCAGAGAGTCATTTCTGGAGTTATCGCAAAGGGTTAATCAAACATAAGTTACTTACCAGTTTCTGTTCTAGCAGTTTCGTGATCCAAATCTCTGATTATTGCCGCTAATATAACCATCTGTTGTTCAACTAAACCATTTACTACATATTCGCGAACATAAGAACTTCTATTACCAATCAAATGTTGATTCATAAATTGAAAAATTTTAGTGGCCAATGATATATACTGCAATAAAGAATTAAACTAATTACTATATTATGTTTTACTTATTTATATCTATAAAATGAAAAAATTAATTCACTTACTCCATGAGGCTCACGATTATCAGGAACAATAGTGTTTACAGTTCGTTCAGCATTGGTTTCATTGTTGGATTCTTTTGTACCATTCGTTGGCGACCCATCGGACGGAGCAATTGTTTCTTCAAACCATAAACCCAAAATAGGTTCGCTGTCCTCCTCTATCGACATAACAGTTTTTTCTGTATAGCGAGAAGACGCATTTAAACCGTTAATCATCTCTTTTTTATATGAATATTGAAATTATCAAAATAACAATTTTTAAATTATTTATGAAAAATATATATAATGTGAAATATACGAAAACAGCTTATATATTATGGTTATAACTATATCTTATATATGATTCAAAAAATAATTTTATATTTAAATAAAAAAAAATATTGTTAAGATAATTCATTTTTTTTAACTATTATTATAAAAAAATATATATGATTTTATATAATACAATAAATATTTTTTTACCTTCATCAGTAGAATTATCTGAGCAACTTAAAAGATCTTCATAGTAAGTTGTAGAATCAGATTGACTTAAAGCATCACCTTCGAATGGATGTTTTTGTATTCTCTTTAAAGTACAAGCCTGTAGCATAAATTTATAGCGTTAATAAAATCAATTAAATCAAAATAATTAAATAGAACATTTATATAAATATAATCATTACAAACTGACCCGTCTATAACTAATAGTGGCTAAATAAAACAATAAATGATTTAATGGTACAGCTTGCAGAAAAGTGACTGCTCTTTGAAGTGCAGTTGCAGTAGATAATATATCTAATGGAGCTGGTTCTGGAGGAGTTGAACAGTCAGCAATTGCTTCAATTGAAACATCTTCCAATAAAGCACTCATTAATGTAAGTGCATGAGAAGCTAAGGCAACTGAAAGTACTCCAAAACCTTGTTGACTAAAATACAAAAATTTTTAATAATTTTTTTCTTTCATTTGTATTAATCAATAAAATAATGAAAATATTTAATTATTTTATATCTTACATTTTCATAAGATTAACGCGAATTGTTCCATCACGCGCTTTACTAGGTGATTTACCCTTTTCTTCTTTTCCTTTATCTGCTGCACTTAAACCACTGACTGTAAGTTGAGCTTGTAAACCAGCTACCAACAACCAGACTCCAATTAATAAATGATTTTGTAGAATCTATCACAAATTAAAAAAAAAAATATTTATATAATTATTCTTATATAAATAAATAAACTTTTATAATATATGAAAATAATTTCTTACATGACCTCCAGCTCGTGTGCTGTTTTTAATTACATTTGAAACTAAACCAAATATTTCAAGACTCTTTTCTACCACTGTAATTGCTAAGGTGTCATATTCTTCTTCTACTGTTTTAATACCTGAAACGGTTTGTGTGCTGGCAGACGTATTCGTGCTACATTTAGGTGATACAGCATTTGTTATTCCAACAATACTAGATGCAGTTGCATATACAATCGAACAATATAAACAAGACATGGTCAGTAATGATAGTTTTTCTAATTTGTTTGGAGTTAAAGGTTCTAAAAAAGGCAAAGATATTATATTGTGAACAATATTAATATCGTTTGATACAGAATGTAAATTATGACGTATAGCATGTGCATCAGAGGCATTCACAGGCAAAGTGAAACTCTTTTTATGTAAATATGCTTGATATTTGCGAGTATAACATGATAAATGTGGAAGGTTCAAACACATATCTAATAGTGTATCTCCAACATCCATATTTCTAAGAATGTTTATATTATTTGTAACAAATGTTGTCTGCAAGATAAAAATAAAATTTTTGAAAATAAATAATATCAACTTTTTTATTATCTTAATACTTATTATTCATAAAAATATTTAATAAAAAATACCTTAATATCTGAATGAATTTCATTAACAACACTATCATTTATAGTTTTAGTTGCATTTTCATTAGGATTTTCAATAACTCCAGACATTGACATTGCAGAACCTTGCAATGGCATAGTTAATTGTTCTAAAATGCTACCTGATAAATCACATTGAATTCTATCAGAATCTTTAGATGATTGAGAAGAATCTTTTTCAGTTTCTGGGGATAATTGTGATTTAATGTCATGTGGTATATTAGAATTCTTTATAATAGTAATCAAAGCTGCTTCTTCAGTAGATGATAATAAAGATTGTCCAGTACAAAGAGCAAGAATTGGAAGCAATAATTGTTTTGTACTTAAAACAGTAGAAGTCCCATTTCCTAACTGAATTTGATGTTGAGACAATTTTTCCATAAGACGAAGAAGCAAAACTCTACATGCTTGACAAACTATAGATATTTGGCTTTTAGAAACTGAAAAGTTATAAAAATATGAATAAGAAATTATATAATTTTTCAAAATTGTTTTGTATAATGATTAAACAAAAATTCTTACATGTATTGATGCAAGCACAGAAATAATCAGCTGCAAGAACTGCCACAGATGTATAAAAAGTTTCATACAATTCTCCTTTACAGAGAAAATCATATTCGCTAAAAATTATAATAAAATAAAATTAGTGAATTCGATAAATAAATGGATAATCATAATAATCATTTTTTTTAAAATTGTTATATGATTTTTTTTCTTTCTTTTTGAAATAATTTATTGCATTTAAATCGCTTTTTTTAAAAAACATTATAACTCTTACCGTATAACGATACTTTTTGCCAATTCCAAGATATCATTTTTGTCAAATGATCCTTGCGATATTGCTAATAATGGTTTCGTTACCGCTGACCATGTATAGTTAGCACGAATCTTGGTCGCCATTTTCGAAACTGTTCGACTTTGTTCGAACTTGTCTCCTTTTCCTCAGTGATATTTTAACTATACGTATTTACATACTCATACATGTATATAAACGTTTCTTTTACGTATTACGTCTCTTTGTCTCTCCTAAATTTTTCTTTTTTTTCCTTTTCTTTTTTCCTTTCTCTTTTTCTTTTTCGATATACTTGCACTTGCGCAATTTTTAAATTGCACATGCATTTATATAGAGTTTTATGCAAGCTTATATATGCACACATATATGTATTTATTATAAAAAAAAAAAATAAAAAAAAATAGATAATAAAGAATTAAAAAAAAAAATTAAATCAAAAAGAAAAGAAAACTAATAATATTTGATATAGATACATTTGATTGTACTAACAAAATTGAAAATCTTCATATTTATGCAATGACTAGATAATTGCGCATTAAGCTTAAGGTTTTTATAACATATCAGAGGTCAGTAATCATGATACAATTGAATAGATTATTCTATCTAAAAAAATAAAAGCAAATTTAATATAATATTTTTTTGGATATTTCATTATCAAGAAACTAGATTTTACTAGAAAAATTACTAGACTAGAAAAATTAGTCTGTAATAAATATATATAATTTATAAATATACTATTATTTCGACTATATTATTATTATTTATCAATATTTACTAATAATTTAAAAATAATCTATAACGAAATGATAGATATTCAAGTCACATAGTCGTAAATTATCAGTTTATAATATATACTTATTATATATTCGTATTTCTTTGAAAAAAATTTTAACAATAAAATTTTAAAAAATGAAAAAGAACTTGTTTTTTTTCTTTTTTTATGTAAAAAGTAATCCCTTAATTTTATTTTAATTCTATTCTGTATATTTATTATGTTATATATTATGTATATTATTATGTTATAATATATATATTATATATATATATATATATATATTTACATAATATATATTACATTATATAATATATATATATATTGAATAATATATATAAATATATAAAATATATTGAATAACCATAATTCATAATTTTGAGATTCTAATGAATCTTATATCTTAATGAATAGTAAAAGAAATTGTCAAATTGTTTTTGAAGATAGATACTTATTGAAAAACGATTTTGTATTTCATAATTATTTTATGATTTTTTTCTGTGGACATTGCTAACAAATTCGTAAAACTATATATATATATATTCTATTATATAATATATTTAATATAAATAATTACCTATCATGTATAGCGAAAAAGGATAAAAAAGTGAGGATAATGATTTCCATATCTTTTATATGTATAGTTATAAAAAATTATTGATTATATATTATATATATATATATTAAATATACATTAATAATTTTTGAAAGTATTTATGTATATATTAATATATTAATATACTTATGTATATATTAGAAAGAGAAAGTATTGTGTATATATTAAATATTTTCTCTTTAAAACAAAGCAAATCTAAATTAAAAATTTTTTGAACAAAATTCAAAAGATAATTATATTAAATAGATTAAAATTATTCTATATAAGTTCTTTGCAAAACTTTTTTGTTAAGATATGATTAATTTTACTCTTTTATTTATATTAATTATATTAATTATTCTCTTTGCAGATAAATAGTTATACAATTTTAATTTTTTTCATAAAAAACTTTAATATTATTCATAAAAAACTTTTAATATTATTAGTATCATTGAATGCTGTCTACATAGTATATGTTAACATGCTTAGCATATATATTATATTATATTATATTATTATCTCTACTCTACTATCATTTCTCAATTGCTTACATAAAAACTTAAGACAACCAATTGTAATACAAATGAGCTTATCGAAAATTTATTTCCGTATAGATTTGAATGTTTCTTCCATCTTTTTTTAAAATTCCTTTTAATATATATATATGAAAACTTCAGTCATTTAAGAATTATTTTATATTTTTTCAATATTTTATATTTTTATGCATGAAAATATGTCTAAGCTTTCTATAGATAAATATTATTATATATTATATTATTATATTATATTATTAATATTATATTATATTATTTAATATTATTATTATATTATTATATATTAGTTGACCCAGTATATCATATTCATATAAACAATTGAAAAATGATAATTGTATAAATTGTATATATATATGTATATATGTATAGACAAAATTTAATGATATCAAAAATTTTTTATAAATAACTCGAAAACTAAAGCTGACCTGTTATGAATAAAAGAAAAAGTTGCTTAAAATAATACCATATTAACATTATACATTTCAAGCTTATCAAAATCAAGGAGGAGGAAGTTAATTGATAAGTTGATCTAAAATGATATGCTTTGATACTCAAAATATTGTAAATTTTAATTTTTTAAATTTTAATTTAATCCTAATATTTTGATTTGTTTTGATTTTATTTATATATAGCTTTAAATATGAATCCGATAAATTATTTACAAATAACAAATCAAATATATTCTTATTAAACTTTTTATAATTTTTAAATAAAAACAAGCAGGAATGATCATTTGATGAAAGAAATCAACTTCTGTTCTTTTTTTTTTATGTATTATTCTGTATTTGTAAGAGTTTGACAAGTCATGAATGTTTCAGAATACATATTCAATGGATAATTTTTGAAAATATATGAAAAACATATAACAGAACTTTGATAACAATGTTCACAAATATATTTCTCAATATCTTTTTTAAATATAAGTTAAAAAAAAATTATTTTTTCAAATTATTTTTTTTTTTAAAATTGAATGGATACATATATATATATATTTGAAGTATTTACTTATATATATATATATAAACGAGAAACATTAAAAATATATTTCTTCAATATAATAACCGTGAATGCATACAATAAGTTATTTATATTAATTATAAGAAACAAGTTTTCTAATTCATAAATAAATCTAAATCATAATAAATCTTGTAAGTCATACAGATAAATAAGTATAAATAAGTATAAATAAGTATATATAATATATAGATAATATTAAACGAAATTCCTTTTTTTACTTAAAAATTTTTATGCGATTATGTTCAAGAATTCGGAAAATAGTATTTCAAATGAATAAATGACTTTAAATAAGCCGTCATTAAGCATATACATTTGTTAGTTATCGAAATGTTTTAAAAAATTTTAAGAATTATATACACACGCATACACATATTTCATTATATCATATATATTTATATATATATATATTTCATTATATTATATATATGATATACATATATCATTTCACTATTATCGCATTTATTTTTAAACTATATTCTTCTCTTCTTCTCGATCTCGATCAATTTATATTTTTTTTCAGACTTCATTTATTTATATGCTATTTTTACCTTTATATTTATGAACTAAAATAATAAATAAAAAATTATATATAACAACTACACTTGTATTTTGAGAATAATACAAGTTATCATCGCAATAAAACATTATAAATATAAAGAAATTATACAATTTTAAACTATATAAATAATTATTATTGTTGCGAATAAGAATTTGTCAAAGATTTTTTGAATATAATATTTTTTTCTATAAAAAAAATTCTATTATTTGTAAAAAAATTTTTTTACAACATTTAACATGTATTGATATTGACGTTATTTATTATTTATTATTAAAAAATTAAGAAGTTCGTATCTATAAAAATATATATATAAATAGAACACATCAACTTTATTCCTTAAATTCATTATTTTCATTAAAATTCAACAAAATTTAAAACAATTTCATAAAATCTTTGATTGACAAGCGAATGTTGCTTACCAAAATTTGATTATTGGCAGTATTACAAGTATATTGAAAAAAGCTAAATTTGCCCTAATAATATTTCATTTATTTTTTATTAACTTAGCCTTCATCATTAATACTTATATGAATATACATCAATATATTCATTGAATTGCCTGATTAAAAGCTTTTAAAAACTATTTTTAATTCAAAATTTTGTTTTTTCGTTATAATTTTTTCAAATATAATCATTTTTAATTTTTAATATGGAAAATGTATTAATTTTATAAGATTGCAATTTTTAAGCAAATTAAATTTAAGAAAAATCAAATATCTTTTCGACAAGATTTATATTATTTGATATAAGTTAATTATTATGTAAGTGTAAAATATAATTTTCTTAGCATATTTAATATTATCATTGAACATAAAAATTTTATTCAATTATTAGATAGTAATGGAAATAAATATATATAATATATATATATAGAATAATATTTAAAAAATTAAAAAAATTTTAACAATTATTATTATTTTGTTGTAAATTTGTTTGTAAATTCTTATTTTGTTTGCATAGAATTGAAATAAGCAAATCAATCACTATATATGTAGTATGTAGTATATTCTATATTATACTGATTTATGCATAATAAGACTTAAAAATATATTTTTAAATATTTTTTCTAAATTTATCTTATATTTTTTTATAAACATATTTTCTATTAAAAATACATTTTAAAATGATTTAAATTGAAAAATTCGTGAAAAAATCTTACATCTTCACGATTGTGATCGACACTTTTTAACCGTATTTTTAATATAATGAAAAAAAATAAAGAAAGCAGTATGATCTCAACGATCTTGAAAAAAAATTTTAAAAAATTAATATAATAACCAAAAGAAATATTCACGCGATTTTTTATGTTTACCGACATCATCCACACATATATGTACACATATTTGTTTACTTCTTTTAATGCTAATTCTTTTATTTTATTATATAAAGACATACATTAAAAATTTCTTAAGAATAAAACAATTGATTCAATAAATGATCAATTCGTTCGTAAAATAAACTGTTATAATCGATTTATAACTTGTAAATCGGTCAATTCATATATTTGAAAGATATGTAAAAAAAATATAAAAATAATATATGAACAGAACGCTGCTTTTGATTATTACCAATTCGATAAAATTGAACCAAAAACGCGTATTGTTTAAATTACTCAAATTAATTTGTTCTAATTTTTTTCAAAATCATCGAGACTACGAACTATATTTTCTTTTGTTTTTATATATATACAATATTATAATAAAATGGTTAAAAAAAATTCATGAGAACCATATGAGAACATAAGCTTTTGATATATAGTATATAATAGTACTTATATAAATATTTAAAGTGAGTTTGTG